ATTTATATCAGTGCTCGGAATAGTGCTTCAATTAATTAATTGAACATTTCAGGCGATTTTCGTGGTCGATGCCTCCTTCCTTTTCTCTCCTTACTGCGCGCAGCGTAACAACCAAGACCAGCGTTAGGAGCGACGCTATCCAATTAATGGATAGACTTTTCTCTTGTAAGAACCTTGATTATTGGAATTTGAGAATTATTAAAATTTAGAAAGATAAAATTTTTTTAATGTATTGTTAAAAATATTGTTTTTTTATCTTTATTATATTGAAATATTATGATAATACGAATGATATAGAAACTTTTGTCATGATATTTCAATATAATAAATATAAAAATAGGAAAAGCAATATTTTTAATAATAAATTCTGCTTAAATTGCAATAATCTTGAAATTAAGCAATCAAGATTCTTAAGAACCTAATATCTCATTAAACGGAGGAGCGCTGCTCCTAAAGTTTGGTTGCACACTGGTCCTAGCTGTTACGCGCAGTAAGCAGAAAAAAGGAGGTGTCGACCACGAAAAATACTCAACTAATTCCGAATACTGAATTATATTATATGATTATTAAAATTAAAACAGCCTGATATTGTAAATACGAATATCGAATATATAATTTTACGATCACATATTAATACGCTTCCACACATTTTTGATCGCACGCTTAAAATATTCTGTCGTGTCCGAAACGTTTTATATTTGCAATATTTATCTATGACAATTTCCGTATTTAAATATTTCGTAGCGATCTGAGATAATCGGATAGAATATCGAGGTACTCGTACAGGAAATGCAAGAAGCTTATGTTAAATACATACATCCCAGCGTTGCAGTGAAAAAGAAAAATTCAGATTTAGTCATCGCACATTTACGACAACAAGTCACAACCCTGACACGTGTCCTCCTTGCTGACGGATGACAGATGTCCGTAACACGTGTCGTCGTACAAAAAAAGATCGCTCTTCGATCGAGGGTCGTGACACGCTGTCTACTCTCGGAAGTAACGCCTTTCGAGCGTTTTAAAATACGTTACACAAATATGCAGAACGGAAGAGGTCATAATATGTAAACGAATTTGATACTGATAAAATGTCGAAAAAACGATGAGCTATACAAACAAAGGGCTCACACGCACATGGTAAAGCAGAAATACCTGCGAAATAATGTGTAGACAGGAAATTATCGAGCAAGAAAGAAGGTTGAGGAAATAGCTAAGAGTAGTATCTTCCCACGGCAAAGAGAAGATCAAAGAAAAAAACGTGACATACATTTATATTGGAAAGAAAAACCGGTGAGTGGAGAAATCGTCGGAACTTCTTGCAATAAGTCAGTGCATCAAAACAGCTGTTAATGTAATTTTTGTTCTACGAGTTCTACAGTCTATATTTCAGAAACAATGGCTCTTCATCAAAATTAGATTATAACTGCTATACGGTACTGAGAACATTCTGTGGAACTGTCAGAAAAACGAAACATCTATTGACGTACGATGGCAGAATCCAATTATAGAATTGTGTGTAAATTTTTATCGAAATTTCTTTTAGCGCGGCTATTTACGATGTTTATGTAACTTGACTATGTTAATAGTCGTTTTGACGGAAGATCGCGATGAAAAATAACTTGGAACGGAATACGCCTCGGGTAGGTTAATCATATTAATATCCACGCCAATGAAATTTCTTCGCAGGCTCGTAATTTCAATACGCTACAAAGTAATTCTCGGCCGAAGATACTTCGGCACTATACTTCGTCCTAGAGCTCGAGTTAAGTAAAAGTTTGGCGTTACGGCGCCTTATAAATCAGAAGCCCGAACTTTCTCACGGGATAACTCCTTAAACTTACTTTTTAACTCTAGCTCTCCTCGAGAGTAACAACCCAATTTATGCAGATTATGGACGCGGATCCGAAGCCGCGAATTCGAGCCAACGCGCAAATTGCCACTTCGACGAGCCGCGCGTCGACGCTGTAAAATATTCAACGTCGATCCTGGAGGATAGCCGTAATATCCGCGGCTATGGTTTTATATGGTTACTTCAACTCGCTTATATGGTGCAAGTTTCGCGATTCATAGAGGAAAGGCGATCGTCGAGACGCGTTTTTAAAGTCGCATCTTCTCTTAATCGTTAATAATCGGTTTTATGCGCTTCTTTAGCTACATACATGACGGCTATTTTGCAGCACAATTCCGACGATGAGTACTGAGCGTTTGTGTTATGAGGCAAGAATTCCATCAATTTATAACAAGTTTAGTGCAGTCCACTTTTTATGACAAAAGTAATGGATCATATTAAAATAATGTCAAAGGTAACATTTATTTTATGAAATATTAAATTTTATGAAATATTTTATCCAATAAATATTTATATTAATTTTTGTAAAGCGAAAAAATGGAACAGCATTTTCGACGTATCTCCAGGGATCTGTTCAATTAACAATTTGCTTTTATGAAATATTAAATATGTTTTTTCGTGCGCATACGCGTTTAACAAGCATCAAAATGTTCATCAAAACGTATGTTTGTCTAAAAAGTATGTGCGACTTCCAGCCTTATTTATGCATTCCATCTGTTCTCAGCCAATCGGTTAAGTTTTTTTTCGGTACACAGATTTTAATGAGACTTTAACAGAGGTCAATAAATTCGTTCACCACGCGCGAACCCGTCAGATCGTCCTAGAATTCGTTCGTTTAATCAGCAAGAATGCATGAGCGCAAAGATCGGGACGTGTCACGCTTCAGGGTCAATGCGCGTTACTTAACGGAGAGTTTCAAGAAAAAAAAAGGAAGAGATAGAAAGAAAAGCAGTGAGAAAACGAGATGGCGCGTCTCTCTAGCCGGGCGCCTAGCGCACATCCTCATTTAAATGAAATAAATCTTGTTACGAGTAATTTTCGTCCAGTCGGCGGGCTCGAGACGGTAAAGAGAGGAGATGGAAAGGCCTTTTAAGCCGGTACTCGGGCGATGCGAGACAAATGGATTTCGCTCCATCACCCGTGGACCCCCCTCGCAACAATGAATGCTCTTGCGTGCCGCATTCAGGCGTTGCGTATTCTTAAGTTTAGACAAAACCCCGTTCTAAATTTAATATCCGCTGGTTGTCCGACAATGTTTGTATTGTTCGTAATAGAAATGGATACGCTTGTATATTCATAAACCTGAAATTGATCTTGCGTATGAATCTAGAACTCCAGAACTTCTTCCAAAACGAATGCATATCGGTAATAAGTTTCACGCGTAGCCAAGCTAGGTGGGTTGCTGTATCGTTGAGGAGCGAAATTATTTTGTATTAAAAGTACGCAAGTACGAAAGTTAGCTATATGACGTGAAAATATATTATCCAATTTGGAAAATCTACGTTTGAAATATTCTCGTCAAATAAATAGCTCTGGAAAAGTAATTATTATATATTATACTACATATTTAGCGACAAGACGATGGACGATGCAAATTCAATTACCGATTAATTACAAGAAATACGATAAACATGTATTCTGCGAAATATTCGGTACAAAATGCAATCGTGTATGCAGAATTACAGCTAAGAGTATTCTATCTCCGAAGTGCGACTTTAAAAGCGGAACTTATAGCAGCGCTGCGGTAGTTTTAAAAATTCCAACCCTTTTGCATATTAATGACATTTGTCCTAAAAGGACGTTCACGTCGCTGGTGTATTGTATACTCAAATATGACGTTGCTTATGTATCGTATAAATGTTGCTAAATTCTCGAAAGAGATATAAAAGCGGAAACATCACGAAAATGATATTATCAGGTCGGCCTTCTTGGAAGCTCGCGTGTCTGTTTGCGGTTGGTACGAATTATCCGGATAATTCGCCTCGCTTTACATAAGGCATGTATCGAAACAAGGTATTAATTTGATGCGGTTGATAGCCACGCAAAAAGTATAATCGACGGTGGAGAATACGGACTCGAATTATATTTTGAGAGTGGCTTCTGTATCAAAGTGCACGATGCGTGAGTAGTCTATCATTAAAAGAACTGATGTTATCTAAAGGTGAAATTCGCATTGCATTAATTTGAAATAGAGGAGTAATTTAAATGCCATAAATAACTTAATTAAAGATGAAAGAGATACGCGCAAGAATTAATGAACTTAATAAAAGTCGCAAAGAGTGTATGAAAATCGGTGATATAATCATATTAACGAGCAATTGGCATAGGAAAGTAACAAGTAGCTATAAATCCCTACTGCACCTTTTTGTGAGTTGTATAACCACATTATAAATCGAGTTGAGTGGATATCGTTGATAATTCATAGACTTGAAATGGTGTCCATTGCGTGACAACATGTCGATTACATGAAGCGTGAAGTCGTAAGACGGGAGCTAGACAATATATGTGGAGTGGTCGCAAATGCCACAATTAATAGCGTAAAAGCGTATAAAGCTCGTGTTTGGCAATAAATTTCTAGTCACAATCACTACATCTCGTAAATCTACGTATATTGTGCAAGATTTTCATATCTCACAATAAAATATTTATTAGTCTAATCTGTAAAACGCTGAGTAAACATTGTTATATAATTGTCCGAACTGAAAAGATTGCGCAAATTATAATATTTCAGTATTTACCAACGTAGAATTGCTTCCATAAAATAATAAAAAATAACTTTTCCGCGGAAAAGCCCTTTAAACACAAAAGCGACAAAAGTACCGAATCCCTTTCTCAACCGACGCGTCTTTCTTGCGCGATTCAATTTATACGGTTCCTTTTTTTTCGAGCCCGCGCTTTTGTTCGTTGATCCTGACGGGTAGTGCATCCTGGCGAGGAAGCAAACGGCGCAATGAGGAAAGGAGACGCGCGAGAAGTCGGATAAGCTCCTACTCTCTCCGAACGGAAAGCTTGCGCTTTGTTATTTCATTTTGCGCGCGTTCATTTCGTCCGGGTGTCCGAAGACCGTACGTCCTCGACATCCGGCATGCGAACAGTCCTCTACTACGGGATTCGTTGAACGCCATAACGTATATACTGTATATTTTCGCAGACATTTCGCCGGACGGACGTATGGATCGCAGAGCGCGATAGGTCTCGCCCAGTAATAACAGGTACGCCTGCAGTATATTTAAATCAGCGGTTGTTTCCTCTTTTGCAAACTGTGATGAATATGTCTCAATTATCTCCAAAATGCTTCATGGAGAAAATTACATGAAATAAAACATTAGTAAATGTTTGAAGAAAAAAATTATCTGATTTGTTACATAAAAATTGCGATGGATCGCGTATAATATCTTCAGCTACACAATAATTGTTTTCTCAAATTTTTTTGAAAAAATAAAAGAAAAGTAAATAAAAAGTCAAAATATTACGTTATGACGTAGCACACGCGACGCTGCATTAATGAGATATAGCGAGAAAGTGTCTCTGTCTTTCTCTCTCTTTTTATCGTCCATGTACGTTTTCGGATACCAAATCCAGATTCGTGACTTCGTTATTTTATTTCGACGGGTTATTTCGTCGGGTTATTTCGTCGCCCGTTATTCGCGACGATTCATTGGGCGCCATTACACATTTGCTATATAATTTTGTAGAGGTTTTACGGGGCGGCCATTAGATTTAGGTGCGCGATATATTTCACGGCGGGCGAAAAATGACGCAGCGAGTGGAGTTCGTTGCAGAGTGGATTGCAGTAAACCCTAGTTGAAACAAATGTGATCGATGGTCCATTTACGATACGTCGTTTTGTGTCGGGTAAAATCGAGATAATGTTACGTTTGAACGACACATTCGTGCGTTAAAACTGACATATCTTAATTATACGTTCATTATGTACAAGTCTGCAAACTGGCATTGATATTTAATCGAATAGTTTGGTGGAGAAAACAACTCGCGCACAGGAAGCACAACTTGCGAACTGCCTGATTTTTCGGGCTTAACTGTTATTGATATTACATTTACGTTCCAATCTCGTTATTTATCTCTTATTATTAAAAAGCTTTCAACGCTTAGTTTTCTCTCAAAATTGCGGAACATTTATATTGGTGAGTATGCTTTCAGATTGATTACTCAGTATCAAATATCGAAGAATTATTATTTACGCTCGATAAATCTCTCTCCGAAGCTTACCCCGCGGTTTTCCCGACATTCGCGCACAAAGAGGACTGAAACCGTTTGAAAAAGCACCCCGCAGTATGCTATCAGGGGGCGGCTCTATTCTTTTAGGCTACGAAGTTCTTACGATCGAAAGTAAACATCTAAGCACTCTACAAATGTACACGAAACTGTATGAGGCGGGAGCGAGCGGCCGGGAGATTTCTACTGCCTCAAAAGCGCGCTTCTGATGCTCTTCGTTCGCTTTAAAAAGGGTCTTGAGGAACCCTCTTCAAGTTCCGTCGGTCTTTTATGGTGACAAAGTGGATCGATCTCGTCAGTGTCTGCTCGCACGTCCTGCCACTGGATATCTCGCGGAGGCCCAGATTTTCTGTTCAATCCTCCGAAAACTTTTCACTCACAGTATTTCGCATTGTGCACCAAGTTTTGTTTTTCTTTCTACCGCTTTTGCTAATCCATTCATATTACTGTATATTCCGGTCTGATTATCGCGCCGCATCGACGTCGAGAGAAGCATCCGATGAACTAAACTTTCGAGAGTTATTCCGTTCGAGAAAAAAAATATATAGTCACGCATGTTGCGCGTTTGCATATTCTGCGAAATTACTATGCAAGACTCGTTTAAAGGCTACATATATAATATTATGGTTACGGTATACAGCTAATGGTCTCCTATGCGCGGAAAGCCGAGAAAAGTGTTATACTCGGAACGGTAGGAGTTTATCGAGTGTTCGAAAGGTATGGCTTGCGCAAATAAAAATGTAAATACCTGTACAGCGCTCGAAAGTAGATACTTTGAGTACGCAGTGTCGTATATTTGTTCAGAAGATAGTACTGAGTTTTCTTTTCTTTTTCTCAATGGAAAATTTGTTTAAACTATTTTATGCTCATCGAGTTTCCTTTACGTAACTTACTAGTACTTTACATACAACATTGATACGTCAGCATTAACGACAACGCACGGAATAAATTTTGTAAGCTTGATTTTCTCGAAATTCCTCTGCAAACTCACATTTATCTTCATGATTTCCAAATTTTGCACTGGATAAATACCCGATGATTCTTACACGCGGTATGTTTGATTGTACCTGCGAGTAATTTCTGCGTGCAACCAGGCATTATCTTGAAAAGCGTTCATTACGTCTTCTTTCTCGGCGCGTATTTGCACGCTATTCTAACGAGCCTCCGCCGTGTTCTCGCCTCGGAAGAATCATATTGCCGCTGCCAAGGGACTTAAAACCCATTTAGAAGGCATTTGTTTCGATAGGGTATCGTTACGATATCGCTCCAATGTCGTTTCAAAATGGTACTCTTAAAAAAGAACGTTGCAGACTCTTATATGATACTCTGCATACAAGCTAGCCTCGCTAATTCCGAGCATTTTTACAGTAAAAATGTTTTGAATAATTTTAGTATTATGTGCGATTGTTGTGCTATACGGACTGTGGATATTATTTCAACAGTAGTTATAAAAGTACAGATTCTTTTCTGATAAGTTTATTATCCTAATTTTTATAATAATCGCGATTGAAATTCTTTTTCATTCTTAGTATTTGAAATATAAAAAATGAACATCGTATAAATATTTGAGTAGAAAACAGGTCTATGATATACAACGCAATAAATAATCTCGCATGATACTTGTCTTGAATCTGCTCTTTATCTAGATAAGCCTTTAAATGCTTGCACTTAAGATTCCATGTGTGCACTTGATAGGTCACTGACCAACTAATCAATCGACCGATCCGATCGGCTATTATTTTAGATATGAAAATTGCGGCCAGTTTGCCGTCGCGCTGCGTTGCGCCGTGCGGCGCCGCGGCGATTCGCGTTTCTTGCCGCGTCGTAATTGATCTCGAAGTCTCGTGGTCGGAACGAGCTTCACCTCCCGGGTAGAAAGCTAACGCGTTATAACGACAAGCAAGGCGCTACGCGCACGAAATCAGATGTTAATGGCGTTTCCGTGCTAGGTGAATTACACAGCGCTCGACGTAATTGCAGGCGTTCGCGTATCGCATATGTGTATGTCGTACTTAACAGTTCGCAGCGGGACGCAAATTCGCGAATTTGCACTGCGGAGAAAATGAAATTTCGTCTCAATCTGGCGGGCGCCGCGTCGTGACGCGGCCAATATACACGCCGACTAATTCACTGCGACGAACTGCATTAGGCACCCGACGGAAGCCTGTTACCTTATCTCCGCTCTTTTCGGAACTCTAACTTCGGAGAACGCCGACGCTGCTGCCAGCAGCGCCTGCCTCCTGCAAAAGCAGGCCTGTCAAAATCGTGCCGATAAACTTAAGTATGGGCGTCTGGTGCTGCGCGGACGCACTTCAAACGCGCCAAATCAACGGCAGCTTAAATCCGAACTTTCCACACGTGACCTCGGTTTTGGTAACGCTTGACCTCGCATATGTCAGTTTCACTTGGATCAATTGATAAATGGATACTTTTGTTTTTTTTCAGGTTTTTTATGCGTACAACCTCGGTCAATTGTGTAGAGTAAATATATAACGAGAAATTTATAAGAAATTGGAAATTGGAGCGGCAAGAGGTAGAAGCATGAGAATGAAGCACGTTTCTCATTAATTTCTGATACTTGTAATATTGCGAGAATATTATGCACTTATATGTACAGAAAATTTATTAATAAATATTTAATTCTTGTTTTTAAATTTTAGTGCAAAAATAATGTAGGTTAAAATCAACATGTATCGAGTAAAAAGCAAACGTGCTACAAAATTTATGTTGAAAAATGCAACGTTGTTCCAAAGACCTTGTAATTTTTATGCTTGTTGACAATTCTATAAAAATTTAGAGTTTTTTTATACAAAACCGTTATACTTGTTTATTATTGGTCAATAAACGTCAATTCATAAAATCACAAAATGAAACAATTCAACAATAGCGGCAAGCAAGCTTCGTGAGCTGTGGGAAAAATCAGTGCATTTGCATATGCTAAAAACTCGCGATCTCGATCAATACGAGCTCTGACTCATGAGCGCGACACGCTGCAGCTGCTCGAAAATGCTCCTGCTACCACGTGTCGCTCGGAGTTTCGTCGAATTCGAGGGCAATTAAATCAATAATCCCTCACACATAGTAAAGCTATCCCTAAATCTAATTTAATACTACTAAAAAGAAATACTTCTTACACCTCGTTCACTCGAAAACAGATATTGAAATTTTCATAAAAGTCACAGCTACTCACCGATCGAGCCGGCGATGTCACTTTCCCTGTCGCGCGTTTCAATTCTTCTGCTCTGGAAATCGATCTCGGATCGACGAAAAAAAAATCCCACGGAATGAGAGACAAATTGAAGCAAAGGGATACAAAGGGACAAGCCGATCACCACTGTTATTTTGTAGCGACCACCTCGGGCAAATTACAGAATGAATCCTCTTCACGCCGCTTTCGTACGTTCGAACCGTGATAAGAGCCTGCCGCGCTGCGCCCGTGCGTACAACCGTTCAGCTCGATGTCTCGCGCTCAACTGGTCTCCGCTCGTTGGCGCGGATTTCTCGCCGGCCAATCGGCGTCGAGACTGCGCGTCGCGGCGCGCTGCAACTCCTCTCCTCGTGTTGTACACCGTGCCTTAGGTTTAACCCCCGTCAGAGGGGGGCCCTCACTCGTCCCTTCTCGCTTCTACAACCAAGGTTCTCCCGTTTGTTTCCCTCGCACTTTCGCGCGCTACGGGGGACGCGAGTGAGCGAGCGAGGGTCGTTGGCACGGCGCATGTGTGCGTACCGCGGAGAGACGGAGCACGTCGCGTTACCTCAGGTGCGAATTTCAAGACGGATTTGAATGGCCTCGCACGGTCAATCCCGTATTCGCACGCTGGCGTAAACTCGACGTTTGTTTAGCCGCGAGATTACGACGCGCTCGCTCGTTTATGCGTGCCGCGATTGTGGTAAAATTACGATTGTCAGGACCGCCGGGCTGCGCGACTATTTGCATGACATTTCGTCGACACACGTCCATCAAAAAGAGTAAAAG